AAATGATGACGATGATAGCTTGCCTAGCACATTTGGCAGGAGTCCTTCCACCGGAGGAGAGAAAGGGGATGCTTTAGGCCTGGTTAGTGCTTGCAGAGAGTCACACTTGTAACACAGCCCTATTAATGCTGCTGTGGTATAAGGAAACTGCCTTGAAACCGTAATAAAGTCCAATCTCTATGCAACCACAGACTGCAACACTCACCTGGGAACATGGGTAGCTGCTGTTTGAATCTGCTCTCTGTTCTGTGTCTTCAGCCAAGTGTGGAATGTAGATTTCAGCATCCTAAGATTAGGAGACACCTTCCAATTGGCAACAGTAAATTCTCTAGCCTTTATACCGGGAAGAGTCACATCTGTGCCTCCTGAAATCTCTGAGGCAACACTGGGGGAGGTCACCTTTCTATAACCATGTCCAGATTCAGCTTGGAAGATACGAAGTGTCCTTACATATGGTTGGCCTGTCGAACCTGTGATATTCTCAAGCACTTCTCCAAGACAGGAATCTTTCCCAACCTGGCTTGCTGGGTCTGCTTTTCCTGGGGTTTAAACCTAGAACTGAGTTATGGCTCCTTTCCATAGGGACACCCCTGTCTATCCATAGGTCTGTATTGATCACTACTGTCTTCTTTCCAAGTTACTTGGTGGTGGTCTTTCCTTGATGTTCTTTGGTTATCTCTTGTTTCTGCTGGAGATAATTTGGATTAAACCTGGCACTGGGGACATGCAATTCAGATGCAGTGCAGTGCTATTTGTTTTAAAGTAGCACAGAGTCTATACAGGCCAATGGAAAAGGTCAGAGCTTTTAAAGCAATGTTTTTGCATGCCTGCTTTTGGTACTTTTGTTCTTCCTCCTCTGTTGACTCTACCCTGCCACAAGCACATTTCTTTTTAAAATCTCATTCTCTCTCTCGCTTACTGTTAAATGCAGCATTTTAAGCTTAAATATTACTAAAATAACAGCAACCTTTATCTCCACTCTTTTGTCCCTTGGCAGTGCATCCTTTGATTCTACAGTCAGGTTATGGGATGTAGACAGAGGAATCTGTATCCACACCTTGACGAAGCATCAAGAACCTGTGTACAGTGTAGCTTTCAGTCCCGATGGCAGGTACCTGGCCAGTGGCTCTTTCGACAAATGTGTACACATCTGGAATACACAGGTAGGTCTACTTAGGTGCCTGTGCTGTTTTCTTTCTTCCTGGAATATATCTGCTTCCTTTCTGTGTCATCCAGGCAACTTTAAGGGGACAGGCTGAGCAATATTGAGAATGACTTTCAAGGTGCTAATTGCTAATGTCATGGCTCGATGACTCTGATCTTCAGCCCTGTCTCTCACCAGCAATCCTAACAGTTCCGTTACCCATCCTTGCTTGCCATGCGACACAATTCATTCCACAGCTTTTCGTTCTTTTTGCCTTTGCAACTTGAGGGTAAAATACTTGAACACAAATATTCCTGCCTGGCCACCTGTGTGCATGAGTCCTGTTAGAAAGGGATGTCACATCATTGGGTATCAAAAGGGCACCTCCTGACCAGCATTTGGGTACTTCCTGAATTTTGTTTGTATTCCATGGGCCCTGTTGGTCTATTGTAGCCAAAAGAACAGAGTTTCTTTGTTTTGTGGCACATCAAAATTACTTTTTTTCCTGGCAGAAGTCGTAATGGACAGTAGTCTGCTTCATAGCCCCTGAAAGCTTATGCTAGATTTGCTGGTCTTTAAAGTGCTGCAAGACTGTTAATTGCATTTGATTATATTTTTAGTGTAACTGCTGAGGGATTGTCTTGTATCTAAGCAGCATGGAAACACCACAAGTGCATTCTGTTTCATTACACCTCTTTGTTTACATCATGTTTTTTGGATCTCCTGCAATTCAGTCTTGGGCACAATCTTTATGAGCTGGGGTTCCTTCTTCATGCATTCAAGAGCCACGGTCGGTTTTCCTTGCAAACTGTTCCTTAATCACCAAAGGCACAAAACACCCAGAATGGATCTCTGAGCATGCACAGAGCGGATTCTTGAACCCAATCTAGTATTCACCTCCAGGAACTCTCTTTATGAGCATGCCTGGGCCCCATCCCTGCAGGAAGGGCCTCCTGGAAATGAGCATGTCTCCTCTCTGTGCGCTGATCCACTAGCTGGGCCACCTTCCTCTGCTGGTGATGCGTCTCGGGGTCAAGAGCCATGCCCACCTCACCTTAGTCTGAGAAAGGACCTGTTCCCAGTCCCCTCCTGCCAAGCTATACATCTTGGTTATTCCCAGATACAGACTGCCCACCTGGGGAGTCCAGCCTTGGGATAAGATCCTCTGATTCTCTCATCTCAGTGTCTTGGGATGGCTCATATTCCCAGGATCCCCTGCCCCTTCCATGCTTCTGAAAATCAGGCAGCAGCCCTTAAGAATGTGTCCGTTTCTTTTCCATCACCCTCCTGGGATTGGGAGTTCTGTACATGCCACTCAGATCTCTGCTGTATGTACTCCTTCCTGTATTATGCAGGATATTTGAGAACCAGTTCTTGGCCAAGGCAAAATGATTTTGGTCTTGTATGTGCAGACTGCCATATTCATAGTAATAAAAGCTTGGCACTGATCGCATTCTGTGTTTTGCTTTCCTAGACGGGTGCTCTAGTGCATAGTTACCGGGGAACAGGAGGCATTTTTGAGGTTTGCTGGAACGCAGCAGGAGACAAAGTTGGAGCGAGTGCTTCAGATGGTTCAGTAAGTAACCCAGAATGGCAGCACATTGCCATGTCCCGCTCCCAGGGCACCTGAGTGTTTCAGGTACGCTTGGAATTGCAGGGTGGTTAATATGCGCAAGAAGAATTTTTCCTCCCTGACAAGCTTCTGCAATAACACACGAGTCAACAAATGCATGAACGGATTATCAGAACAGCAATATGAAGTGAGAGCAGAGCGAATGGTGGGGAGTTTGGGAAGGGGCATTGTTTCCTTGTGGGATTCCTGGAGGCAGCTGGTTGGCGACGGTGTGAACACTGTGCTGGTCTACATGAACTCCAGGTCTTTTCCCACATGACTTTTCTTAGATTCTTACACCCCCAGGGGATGGGTATTTGTATCTTGCTTTTCTATTATTCATAGGGAGGGAACAGTCTGGTGGACAACTCCCGTCATCATGTACAGGCATCCAAATAAAGCAAGCCACTAATCAAAGCTGAAAATGATTCTAACAAGGCACCACTGCCATTCTGTGCCTCTTTACCTCAGAGTAAATGCCATGAATTCAGTGATGCATACTTCTGACTTCCTGGGTTCAACATGTAACACGCTTTGCACTTTTCTAGAGCTCCCATTTGAACTCTTAATGTGAATTAGCCACATCAAGGAAAGAGAAGGAAATGCTCAGCTTCTGCCTGATTATTTTCTTCATTCTCTTCCCGCATGCCCTTCTGTCACAAACAAGGTAAAATAGGAAAGACTCCTTAGTAGTTCATTCACTTGCAGGATTCCAGCTTTGCTCCATCTCCGAAGAAGGTCTGGGGACCAGTCTTCCACTCACTACACCACTGATCTCCCACACCAAAACTCCTCCTGGCATACGGAAATTGACATTCTTCCCCTGTTGCACTCACTTGCTATGTACAGGAGGTGTTTATATGAGGGAGCATTCATGTATATACACCTTTCTCCACCTTAAAAGCTGTGCAGCCCAGGTAGTGATATATTTTTATTTTGAGAAAATGCTTGAAAATACCCTGCACAGAAAATCTTCTTTCTACTCATATGAGTCAGCCCTGAGAACAATGGAGAAGCAAGCCAAAGATGGCTTCTGTCTTGAGTTAGCAGGTCGGTTGGTTGGTTGGTTTTTTAAAATAAGCTGTGGAATGAAACGTAACTGCATTTGAGCAAACTTATACCCTTTTATCTATTGTGCTAGCTTCTCAGAACCATTGCAGAACAGAGAAGCGAGGGGGAGCAAAATGGAGCATGAGAATAAACTGTAAAACACGCTGGGCAAAGTCCATTCACATTCAGATGCTGGTCCTTGCACCAGAAGCCCTGTGGCCCCTTAAGTGTAAAAGTATCTTTAAGGACTCTTGTTTCAGTATAATGTGATCACCAGTCCACTCTGCGCTACCAATGGAGGGTTTTGTTTTGGGTTTTTTTTAACCTTACACTTTCAGCATAATCGGGTTTAACCAGTAGGATATGTGTGCTGTGGAACAGGGATGGGGAACCTGTTGCCCCTGGGCCCATGTGGCCCCTCTGGCCTGTGAGGCTTCAGCTGGGGCCCTTCTGCCACACCCATCCCTTCAAGGCAGAGTCTGCACTTGGCGCATAGAGATAACCAATGGCATTTCCTTAGTGTGCCACTCCAAGTCCCAGTAGGAGGGTGTGAGGCCTCCTGAGTGCTTTGCCTGCCCTCGCGCTCCCCAATGAGGAAAGGAGTGAGGCAGCTGCAGGAACCCTCGCCGAGGGGTCCTCGCCAAGGAACCCCATTCCCATCATGCCCAACAGGGCAGTTAGAACCAGGTCCCTGACTGAAAGGTTATGTGGAGGAAGTCCAGTAAGCAATTAGTCAGTGGCTTTGACTGCTCCCACTGGCTTCATTCATTCAGCCGGCTGAGGCTGGGGGCGTCATCCATCCTCACCCCACACAGGCTCTCCACATCTGTCACAGAAGAGGGCAGAACTGACTTTCCAGCAGCTGTGCACATAGTCTAAGAACAAGGTTCCTCTAAGTTTGCTTCTTGGCTACCATGAACATTCTAACAAGGTGGTGGTTCCATCAGCTTGCATGAAGGGACCAATGGCTTTAGGAGAGGAAATGAGTGGTATGCATAAGAATCGAAATTGCTCTACGGTCTTAGGACATGGTTGACTCCAGGGGCTGCTTTTCTGTTCTCTGGGTAATTGGAGCGGCCAGAAATAGCTGGAAGGCAGTGGTGCCCCTGTCAGGAGACCTTAACTCTGTGTGCAGGCTGCCTCATGTGGACAATCTGTCCCTACCTTCTGTCTTGCAAAATATGAAAACCTGTGAATTGCTGTACTCGTTCAGGTAGATGGTGAGTTTGTGTAACCACAAAGTCTCCCCACAAAGTGAGAGGTTCCTGTCATGCTGTTGAAGGAAAAATAGAGCTGAGGGAGGGAGGAGGGAAAAGTATTTGTGGGAGGCTTTAAATTTTTAAACGAAAGAAACTCCATGGTTGTATCTGCATGTTACCACATGATGGAGCATTTCTAACTGCAGAATAGCGACAGGAATTTCTCAGCGCTTGGCGAGCATTCCCTGTAAAGGAGAGCATGGAAGCTCTCTCTCCCCCCTACATTTAGCTTCATGTTCCACATGAAAAATGGCACCTGCAAGACAAAGTTCCAGGGTGAAATGACCAAGTTCTGGATGTGGGCCAGTCACGTCCCCTTCCAGCATTCCTCATCCCATTTTCCTTTCTCCTAGTTGTCTTCACCCTGCCCAGAAGACAGCATATTCTGGGGCCACTGAGCATATTTCATTGTTGGTGTGCTTTTTTGTTACCTCCTCATTTCCCAGTTGCCCTTTCTGGGCCGCGTGGTTGTCGACACTCAGCACCCGTCCTTGCTGTTAGAACATCTGAGTCAATGGAATGATTTCCCAGAGGGGTACAATGACTGCACTTCCCCAGCACCTCTGAGTCAGATAGATCTGGTCCTGTCTGGACACAGGCACTCTAGCCGTAATGGCTAAAAGCCTCTGCTGGGGCTTTCTTCCGCTGTATTCTTTTACAAAGTCGCGCCTGTGCTTGTAGTATGCATACCTTTCTGAACATGCCACCTTTCTTCCCTTCCTTGCAGGTTTGCGTACTAGACCTACGGAAATAGCGCTACTAGTTGGAAGCCATGGACCGACTATGAATGTGTACATAGCCAAAATGACTGTCCCCTTGACCCATGTACTGCTATAGTCCCAATGGAACCATGGCCAGTCCACTACAGCCAAACCCGAAAGAATTATATACATATACTGTATATTAAAAAGCAAAAACAAACGATTACACCCTGAAGATGACAGAGTTTTGTCACAGCTTGTGAAGCCTGTTCACCAAGTGCTGGGATCTGCCGTGCCCCCCCAAAAAAATATGTAAGCATTTTGGAAATGGGAAAAAATAAACAAGACAAGAGCGAACGAGAGTGAAAGAGAGAAACCTAACTGTGTGCATGCAGCCCATTGAGTGTACCAAATTAGGGAAAGCACCATATGGCTGCTGCTTTTTTTCTTCTCCCTCTTCCCCCACTTTTCACGCTTCTTAAAACATTGAAAGATTGGATTTTCTTCTTCTTCTTTTTGGCTTTCTTTCTCAGTAAGTGATGAGCAGTTTTTGTGTGCAGGAAAAATGAGTTTGCATAACCCGGCAACAGTAGTTTGTCCATTGCTCCCTCCTGTTTCATTTTATTGATGCGCAATTCCGGGGTGTGAATCAGTTTCATGCTGGTGGTTCTCACTCAGAATTGGGGAAAACCATCCTTTTGCAGCAGTTCTTTTGAAAGTGTTATTTTAAAAGATGTAGACATCTGGAAATGTTGTGGATATCTGATCAGTTGGGAAAGGAGGAAACAAAGCAGAACTTTTTGAAACATTAAGTTCAACATTCCTTTATGTTAATAAGATCCATTAGTTATGGGTTCACATGTTGTAGTGGGAGAGGTGGCTTCTTTTGATAGTGACTGTTCCAAAATGCAGGCGTTCCTAACGTAAAATATTTCTGCCCAGTCTAAAAGGGTAGAAAAAGTTAAGAGCATGCAGAAGACTGATGTTTGTGACACAAGCACACAGTGGGGGATCAGAATTGTGTCACTTGCCCAACCAGAAGCTTGTGTGTTGTATTTGTTTCATAGGGACCCACACATACACACAGAGCCCAGGGGTGTCTGCCTAATCTGTACTCTTCAACACAAGAGGTTGCTCTTGTTTGAGATGGGTTGGTATGGTCCCAATCCCCCCTCCCTGTGTGTATGTTCCAAACTTCAGCCCAGGAGTCCAATAAACCAAGAAACAGATCCTCTTTTTCTTTGAAACTGTAGTCATGGACCAATTGCATACTGCTAAGAAGAGGAATGAAATAGTGGAGAAAAGGGATTGGTTCGTGTTTAGATTCATCTGGGCGAGTGTTTTTGCTACAACTTCTGTGAGAGTTTTGCCCATACTTACTCAGATGTCAAGTGTAACCAAATTCCAAATTAAAGTATTTTTGATTTTTTTTTTGTTTGTCTTCATACAAAAACATCTTTAGCATCTCTCTGCTGCTGTGTCTGGAATGAGGCAAGACACTTACTTTCTTAAGGTACTGATCCACTGGAAACTTTTTCTGTACAAAGCATGTTGAAATGGAAAGGAGGAACTCCACCTTGTGGTGGTGCTCAGCAGACATGGTGCTGGTGAAGTTCCCAGTAAATTATGCCCCTTAGTTTTCCAACAAAGGGAAAAGAGAAGACAAAGGACTTATTTCAAGTTTATTTAAATACTGAGTGATTGAGCTTCCATAAAAGAAAATGGTCTTGCACTGATTTGACCCCCACTGCTCCTGTCTCATAACTTTTATATGTGCATGTGACATTACCCTCCCCTTTCCCAAATTTAAAATAAACGTAAGCTGCTATTTGTTTTTAGGGGAAAAATATGATCACTACTATAGAGTGTCTCTTTGTTCCTAATATCAAGTATCACTTTTCTTTGCGTCACAGCGAGAGGCTTTTCTGACAGTTTGCCTGCTCGCATGTTTGATTAAAAGTTAATGCCTGTTGTGATACCCTCTTCATAAAAGTATAGCATGAAGGCGATTCTCTGCCAATACCATGATTATATCATGTTTTATGCAGTCCCAACCTTTTCTTAAAAAGAAAGATTGTCAGGGTTTTTAACATTTCACCAAGTTTTTTACTTCAATGAATGATTTATACTCGGTAGCTTTGCAAGACCTCAGCGCTAGATCACCATTTCAGTCACAGCAACTTGGTATACAAATACTAGACGTCCAATCTGCACGGGTGGTTCTTTCCTTTCCGTGGGCAGAACAGCACATGGCATGCCTTTGGCAATGGCAGCCCCCTACGGAATTCCCTTTTCACTGCCTGATCATGCCTCGCGCAGCTGAAACAGCAGCACGCCGCGCATTTCCCTGCGCCATTTCATCGGCAGGCAGGAAACACAACATAGTCTAGTTCCACTCAGCAGGACCCTGAGTAAGACCTGGAACTTTAGAGAGCAAAGCGGCAGAGGAAAGGAGAGGTGGGGAGAGGGGCAACAGAATTTAGCGCTGCCGTTTTCAGCAGCAGCCCCGTTCTCTTCATCACAGGTAGTTCCATCCTTTATATTTCATTCTCGGTGGAGCTGAGCCAGAGAAAGCAACTCATTAGCTTTTTGGTGTCGGTGCTGATTTCTGCCCTCTCTCCAAGCGTGCACCCCCCTCCCTGGCCTTTTGAAGTCAGCAAAGTGCTGCCATAAAAGGCTTGGCAATCATTTTAGCCTCCCTTTGATACAGGCACCTCCATTATTATATGGGTTGACTCTATAAAGGAAGCCACAGCCTTGAATTTGCAAGAGCTGAGCAAGGCTATCCATGGATAGGACATTTTGGAGGGCTTTCACTCATAGGGTCGCCAAAAGTCAAAGATGACTTGAGGGCACATAGCAATTGTACTGTTACACACAACACTGCAAGAAACCAAAAGGATTTATACCCATTTGGGCAGTCAGTCATCTAATACGGCTCTGTACCAGCTGTTTGTAGGGGGTTGGGAATAAGCTTGATATGTTTAGGAGGATTTCCCTGTGAATTACAATACGTAAGAAACTTAATCTGTTGAGTATCCGGCACTTGAAAAATATTGCTTTCAATTGCTGGAGGTCCAGGACTGTGGCCGACCTCTGTCATTATTAAAATAATTTAAAAGAAGTTTTTAAAATGTAAAAAAAAAAATAAAAATAAAAATCTGTGCAATAATTTTAAACTGTGCTCCCAGGAATAGAGGCAAATGTGTTTGGGGGTGGGGGGATTTTTATTTTGAGTATATTTAAACAGCATTTTCTTTTCCTTTAGCAACGCAAATGTCAATTGCACTGAACTTAAATCTTAAAAAAAGTCAGAGGTGATTCTTGATAGTACTTTTGTATTTTGATATGGACAGTCTGTTCGTTTTTTTCATACAAGCTCTTGAAAGGATGTTTGGTGGACTTTAAAAAAAGTGTATAAAAACAAAAGATGGTGTTGAACTCTTGAATTTCTCACACGGCTGCATGATTCCACAGCAACATTCACATTTCTGGTTTTGCAACTGTTTAGCTGTGTTTTGTTGTTGTTCTGCTTTGTTTGTTTTCTTGTTTGATTTTTAAAAATTGATTATTGCCATTTAAGTGTGATATAGCTGATTTCCCTTCCTCCCCCTACTTTTGCTCTGAACACAGCTCAAGATTTTATTTTTTGGGGCCACGTTCAGCCAGTCTTTCTCTCCTTGAGGCAAGTGGCCCAGATTCTGTATTCCAACAGCAGCAGAGGGGAGAGTTACTTACTTGGGCCAAATACCTGGACTGTAAACATGGCCCTAGTTCTATGTACTTAATCTTACTGAAATAATCACTGTTGAGAATATGCAAAAAGGGTGCAAGATCGTAGCCTTTGGCTGCGCTTCAGAAAATGGCATTTATCAGGTATGTTTGCACTGTGGGCTTTTCCCTCGCCTGTCAACTCCACAGCTTCTGTTCCCTGTCTCGTCCTACAATGCACACCCCATTAAATGACCGTCAACCACCACCCATCGGTGGGCGTGGCTTCTGCTGCAGAGCACTGGGGCGAGGAAAAGCCCACGTGGTAGTTCCTTGTGTTTGCAGGAATGGGCTGCGTGAGCTGCCCCAAATTGCCAGACCGTGTGCTGCTGCCCTTCATCAGTGTGCCACAGTGCTGCTCCAGGTTTGAACTGCCTTCAGAAAGGGACATGTGTAGAACAGGGCAGGAACACACCCACACGCCATTTAGTGGGATCCGTAAAAACGGCTGGCTCGGTTGCCATTTTTTGTATCCAGGAGAGCCAATGTGGAAAGACTCCTTGGCCTTCGTTACTACCTAATCCTTCTTCCAAACATTGAGCGTTGTAAGTGTTTTCCAGCACCTCTCTCAGTCATGATCCATAGCCTGAAAGACAGTCCAGCATGAGGGAAAGAGCCTCAAATATTTGCAGGGAAGAATGGATAGGGACGGAAGGGGCATCCACCCTCCCTCTGTCTGTCCCACCAATTCTGCCCCCAAGTGCTCACTGAACCACAGACTTGATCACACTGAGCTCTGACCTGAATCATTAGCTGCTTCTGGAGAAAACTGAATGTCAAAGACACCATGACCATAAAAGCTTTGCAATTCTTCAACAGGGGTTCCAAATTTCCTTACTTTAAGGCATTTTCTAGTACCCATTAATTTGGCTGGGAGTGTTTGCTTTTCTTAAAATCGAAAGCTTAGAACATGGCTTTGGTATGAATTGTGTGGAGAAAGAGAGGCATGTAAATGCCTGGTCTGCTTCAGCAAAACTAGTACAATGACATCAAAGTGGACAGCAAACGGGTGGCGTTTTCAAAATGCAGGCGCAGGTTTCCTGTGGTTACACTCCTGAGAGCAAGGAGCTGATGTAACTGCTCAGCCACACAGACTGATCTCTGCTTCCCTGCAAATAGCTGATGTCTCAGCTGAGGGCATTGAGATGGAGCCATCTCAGAACTTTCAACCAGAGTACAACCTATTTAACCAGTCAGTGAAAATTGCAAATTCACAAAGAACCCTAAGCCTTTTTCTGGACATTGTCTTCCAAATGGTTGTGCTTATTTTAGGTGATTGTGGGGCAGATGGTATTAGCATTTTGCATCCAAATAAAACTCAAATAGGGGTTGATCTTTTTTAATGAGGGAGGCAATGAAAAAGACTCAGTATTTGTACCAGTTTACTGCTTTTCTACAGTGCTAGGAAGCTTAAGGAGTAATTGGTAGCTTAATATTTCCATTGAGTTTTGAAACAAGTATGTGAAAGTTTAGTGATGTTAGGGAGTTTTGTGTTGGGCAAACTGCTGCTGATACGGTGGCAGGGGGGATCATACACTGCAAATAAGCAGGAATTTTGTTGTCTTTGGAAAGAGAAGCTTCTCCCCATGGGGAGAAATCCTGCTTTTTAATTATTTTCAAAGGGGGAAAATACATTGGGCCAAATTGTAAAGGAGAGAGATTTCCACATACTTAGAAACGGCAGGATGGGTTGATCAGGATATGCAGCGAGGAAAAACCTGCATTAGCTAAGCAAGGAAAGCAGGGAAATTGGCCTCCCAGATCTTGGTTGGGGAATTGCTTTTAGAATTGGCATGAAGGGAGTTCATGTCATGCTTTGACAGAAGGAGGCAGCATTGTGGCACACGGACATTTGAGCCATAGGGAGAATCCACATAGGTGTCCAAGGGGGTGTGCACTACATCCGCAACCTCAGGCCACCCCCTTGCCTGCAATACTCCTCCCTTGCATTCCATGATGGCTTCTAGCTCCAGCCACCAACCCACCCGAATCTGTACTGACAGTGATAGCCATGTTGTGTTGATTACAGAAATTGCGCAATAATCCTGAAACACATTGCCTTTAAGGAGTTCTGCTTTTGATGGCTTCCCGCATTTCAGGATCCTTGTACACAAGCAGAACAATGTCTAGGAAGCTGCGTTCTAAGTAGGCCTCTGGATTTGGGCAGCAGTAAAGCTTTCATATCAAGGCCCTGGACCCTACCTATTCTAACAAGTGATGTTTCCCCCAGCTTATCCTATATATAAACTGCTGTTCATGTGTCAACCCCATAAACTGGCACAAATGCCGCTACCAATGATGCAGGTATGTTCAACTAAACATTGTGATAAAGCCTGAATCCTTTAATTCCTTACAAGTTCTTAGTGTTGAGGTTAATAAGAAAGAACATTTTTTAATTTTTATTTTTTTTAAATTCTCAAATTTGTGGATACATGGGGAAATCACTCTGTTTTGTTGTTGTTTCTGCTGTGTGCTTTGCGAACTTATTTTTCAACAGGCTGTGGTAAGCAAGTCAAACACGTATGATACAAAAGTAATCGCTCTTTTCTTTCTCCCCTTCTTCTCTCCTGACTTTGACATTGTAGTTGTAAAAAGGTTCCAATTTGGAGTTGCAAATCTTTTGGGTCCACTTCTGTGAGCCTTCCTATAGCACTGGATAAAAATGTCTACACCATTTCTTCAGTTATATATCCAGTTAAATTACAAATGTTGTACAAGTGTAAACCAGCCCATGTGACAGGTTTTATTTTTTATTTTTATTACTTGTTCAGAAAGACTTTTTATTCAGTTTTCATGATTTATTGTCTAAAGAAAACTGATATAGATGTTCTATACTGTCCTGGACCCATGTCAATTACACCTTTTATGATGTACTTTGGTTCCACATTATGATGATTTTGATCCCCCACCCCCAGAAGCCCTTTCTTAATCCCATTCTGGGCACATTTTCTGTTGCAGTTTTCCCTTTGCATTGTATTGCTCTGACAAGTGTAATTTGAATCAGATCTGAAAGAGGTCCAGAATAAAATATATTTTGATACGATGCTGGCTGTATTTATCTTTCAAAGTTAACTTGCATTTTCATTTTGTATTTCTATAGAATGCTTGTAACATCCACCAGGTGGTCAGATAAATCTATAATGCACCATACTGAAAGAAGCAATTTAATAATACACAAAAATGTCTGCTGCAAAAAGAACTATTATCAGCAGTGGACTTTAATATTATATAATAATATTTATATAACCCCTGGGTGAGAGTTCCCTAGTCCAGAAGGTGGGCTGGACAGTGTACCCTAAATAAAATACAAAGAGATGGTAGAACAAGGTCGACAAAACACACCACATATACGTGGTACATGCTAACACCTGAAGTAAGGCTGCATCGGAGAGAAAACACAAAAGTTCAAAAGCATTACAAAGCTTTCCCAAAATGTCTAGAAAAAAATGGAAAAGATCAGCTGGGGGTGACAAGAATGCAGTATAAGCACCAAGCATGATTTTCTGGGGTGGACGTTTCACAGACAAGGAATCCCCACTGGAAAGGCCCTGTTGAAACCATCCACCTTGCCTGATTTGGTGGGGATACTTGAAGAAGAGGTTTGGACTATGTCCTCGAGATCTAGCTGGGTAGATGCATGTGTCGACTTTAAAATGTGTAGATTTTAATTTTGTTGTCATGCAAAACATTCTGCTGTGCCTCTTCATTCTTTTACAGCTGAATATCAGCAGTAGGTCATTTATTCATGTCCACCCTATCATCCTAGTCATCTTCGAACTTCTTTGGTTTAAAACTGAGACTCCAAAAAGCTGAGTGTTGTAAATATTGCAGCTCTTCTGCAGTCTGTTCCATCCTGCTTTTGAAAGGCTGAAGTACTCTCTTGAGCCTTACTTGCTGAGTTGAAGCTAAAATATGCTGGTGGGGGTTTGGTTTGGTTTGGTTTGGTTTGGTTTTTTCCAGTGCTGCCCCCACCCCACTGCCCTTTGAACCCTGGAATTCAGCCCACACAAGCATCTGGCCTTTTTGCTAAAAGAGGCTGTCCGTGTCTGGCTTAGATCCTTGCACGCGGAGAGCAAAAGTCTCAAACATGCTCAGACTTCACTGAAGTGCATTGAGCTGGACACAGCTGCAAAGCTCCCTCTGACAGGGTCCTGCCTGATCAAGGTTTCCAATCATGAGAGCTCCGTAGGCACATGTGCCACTCCTACATCCATTTATGCCTTCATTTGTTCCAACTCCCCTTCTCCCCATGGTGTCATTGGCGTAGCTCACTTCGCCCTGCTCCAGGGCAGGGCTGGTCCCCATCATACCTGCAAAGGCTCAGTGTGAGCAGGGATGGTAAAGAGCACCTCAACTAGAATGGAAATGAAACTGCTGGAAGAGAAGGTGGCCATTTGAGGTATCTTCCAGTATGAAGGGTAGACAGTGCCCAGCCAGAGATCATGGAAAGCCTACAAGCTGGACGTGATTGAAATAGCACCTTCCTGCGCGTGCTCTGTAGTGGTACACTTCCTCTGGTAACATAGAGGTGTCATGGAGAGCCAGGCTGGTGTGGGGGTCAAGACTGGGACTCCTGAGATCCGGAACTGGTCCCCACTCAGCCATGGCTCCCACTGGGTGAATCTGGGCCAGTCACGAGTCTCAGCCCAACCTAGATTGCGAGGAGGAGGAGAATTATGGAAGCCACCTTAATCTCCTTGAAAGGAATAAAGTCGGGAGACAAGTGATTAGTAGTAATGGATAGCATTTATCTAATTCTCATATATAGTCATCCACACTGGTGGCTGCCACCGCCTCTTGTGGTCACGTGTTCCATAGCTCATTCTCCCCTGTGTGAAGAAGTACTACCTTTTGCTGCAGCTGTTTTGAATCTCTCATCATTCAGCTTCAGGGGACGAGCCTGAGTTCTAGCAGTGCAACAGAGGGGCAGGAAACTCCCTCTCCACCTTCTCTGTACTGTGCATGATTCTGTGCACTTTGTACCCTTTCTTAACTAAGCTAGGCAGTCCCTGGTGTTTTCCCATACTTGACTCACTCCAGCTCATTTTGATAGAGCTTTACTACACCTTGTTCAACTCCACAATAACCCTTTTAAGATCTGGTGACCTGAATTGCAAGACAATATTGCAGGTATTTGCAGTTTCCCCTCTGTCCACCTTTTGGTGAACAGAGCTGTCTAGTCCATAGCCTGTCTCAGTGTTGGACACCCCGGGATCGACATTGGGTTGCATGGCTCAACTTTGAGTGAAGCTGGCTGAAGCCGGGGGTCAGACTAGAGGGCCCGTGAGGCCCCTTCTGACTCACTCAGTTTCTATGTATCTATGTTAGACTCCATACAGCTACATCCTGTCCTACACCCACCTGGTTTGGGGAAGTGTTAATACGCAGTAAATACATGCAAGAAAGCTTACATGTGGCAGTCATAAGCAATAAATGTAGCACAACGGCTTCATTTGGAGCCAGTTCAATACTGTCTTGAAAGTAACCAAGGCCTTTTTAAAATGTGGCACTTTAAGAACATCAATCAAACTTGTTGCAAGTGATTGCAAGATCAACCTATGGTGTGGGGCTGTGTGTGTGTGTGTGTGTGTGTGCTGCCATACATTTTCATTTTACTGAGAAGAATGCAAAGACTGTAACAGTGTTTGAAATGTGCTTAAATTCTCTCCGTGCAATAATTAATTTCATTTTGGGAGGGAAGGAACCTCAGGAGAGTATTAGCTGATCTCCGCCCCACTTGCAGAGCTGCTGATGTGATATTTCTGAAATGTTGCCCCTACTCATCTTTTTAATGATCTAACTTTAGTATCTTGGCAAAGGTGGTGTTCAGATCTCATTAGATGTGTAATAATCACTTGCAGTTCATTACCTTGAAAATTGGCACAGTTTTGCTCCCAGAGCTATTGGAAAAGCTAAGCTGGGTGTCTGAGGGCTAAACAAGCAGTGATGACCCATTTCCATAAATGTGGGCCTTCTCCAGTAAAGCGGGGAATGGAAATCTGATTTCAAAGAGTGGTGCGGATGAACAGGTTCATCCTCAGTGCAGCCTTTTCCCTGCCCTGATGTTCTTCAACGTTTGCATTGCTGTGATCCATCATGATATGCCCACAAACTGTTTACAACATGACTCACTCCACCACAATTTGCTTGAAAGTAGGAGGGGTCAGTGGGTGGAGCTTGTGGGTTTCATGAAGTGTCCTTAAATGCAGCTTAAATTACTATCGCCCCTTTCCAAGAAACTTGGGGAAGTATTGAAAAGACAGAGGTCCGTGAGCAGTGTCAGTTCAATACTTTAAAGTGAGAGGTTCATAGTGCCCATATTGTACCTTTGGTGCATGTACACTGTTCTCCTGATTCCCCAGTTCCTGGTGCTTCCGAATTGGTGCTACTCAGTCCCTTACTGTTACCCCTCCCCTAATCCTTTGCACCCATGTACAAATTATCCTATCTGCAGTTTCATTGTTTCAGTCTTCAGTCTGTTACCTACTTCACTTCACCCTTCTGTTTGACACCTGAAACATACCATGAAATTCACCTGGGAAGAAAGTTCCATTGTGAAGATAATCAGTTCACACATTGATTCAACAGTGTGAATTTAGGGAAGTTCACGTGAAAAGGGAAACAGAGCACACTTCCCCTGTTTTTCACCTCATGCAGCCACCTGACTGCCCAGTCCTGCACTTCTTGTTCTCTTAATGGAACAGCGCGATTCAATGCATTTCCCTCCACCTCCTTAGAAGTATCCCAGTTTGAATTCAGCTCACAGCAGAAGAGCCCTTGTTTGATTGAGACATTTTCTGAATTTTCTGCCTACATCAGCCTGATTCAGTTCTGGGTTTGGGATTTGGCCAAACCTAATCCAACTCTGTGGAAAAGGCTTCTTGGGGATTTTATCCAGGTTTTATTTCTAAGCTTTGGATATTTGTGATTAGCTGGGAAAGAAAGAAAGAATATGTTGCCAGCTGTGTCTTCCTATGTAGGGACTGGGTCAGGCATTTATTTATTTTAAACTTTTGTATAATGTCCTTTTACCAAATAGTCTTAGGACGGTTTTACAATACAACAAAGTAAAGCACAGCATCATTTCTATATGGTAAAACCCCAATTAAAATAGCAATTTAAACCTTAAAATGCAGGGAAAATGAAAAGGTTTTAGCCTGGTGCTGAAAAGAATAAAGTGTTGGTGCCAGGCGCACCTCTCTGGGGAGCATTTTCCATAACCCGGGTTCCACTGCAGAGAAGGCCCTTCTCTGGGTAGCCACCCTCCTAATCTCCTTCAAGGAGGGCTCCTGAAGAAGACCCAGATCTTAAGGAGTGGGCAGGCACATAGGGAAGGAGGCCTCGCTCCTTCAGATATCCAGGCCCTAAGTCGTTTAGGGCTTTATAGATCATCAGCAACAGCTTAAATTGGGTGCAGACTTCAATTGGTGGCCAGGGGAGATGATAAAGGACCAGCATTATGTGTGCATATCTGCCCGTCCCTGTTAACACCTTGGCTGCTCTATTCGGAACTAACTAAAGTATCCAGGCCATCTTTGAGGGCAGGCCCACCTAAAGCACATCGCTCATTGTCCAGCTCGGAGGTTACCAGAGCATTGCTTTGGCAGCGTGTCCTGGGGGTACATCATCAGAGTCCGAAGTGGAAGAGTGAGAGGGGTGGCAGTGGGGGACAGAAACCCTAGAAGGTCCTTCAAGGTTGCTTCCTGAGGTTTCCCAGGCTGACCATGCCAGCAGGCCTGTTTTGGAAGAGGAGGGGAGGGGAGCAAATGCAGGACCCAGGTCTTGATCCAGTAAGGATGTCTCAGGAGACACAATCTGCTGCACACCAGCAAGAACCAGCCTGAGTGGAGGTGGCAGTGTTACTGAAGGAGAGGGGCTAAGGAGAACTTTGGGTTGAACTCTTTACATGAGCAGAGGCTTATCTTTCAGCTCGATGGAAGGCTATTTAGAGTTACACTGTCCTGTTAGCTGTGAAGTTTCAATAGCAATCTGCATTGTAGAGGATTGTCTTGAGTATTGGTGCCTGGGGGAAGGGACTCGCTT